CATTTAAAAATGTCTTTTCATTGTTATTTTTCCAAATTATTCAAATGCTTAGCTGGTAATTAAATTAGAAAAAAAAAATACTTTTGCTGTTAGCTCTCTCTGTTTCCTTACCCTGCTGTCTCTGCTGGGTGGAGTTAATCAGTGTGATCACACTCACCTGTGACTTCTGGGGTCGTTGTTCTGTTTTTGTGTGGTGCTGTTCACTGTGTTCTCTGTTCATGCTTCCTGTTTGTAGTCTTTGATTTTTTTTAATGTCCATGCCTCGTGGTTTTTGCCTTGTTCCTGCGACCCAGTGAGTTTTGGTATTTTTTTGCACTTTGTAAATAAACTGCCTGCACTGTAGGATTCTACTGTATTTATATATAACAAAAACATATACATTTTTTTAAAACATCAGGAGTTGGTTTCATTTTGTTTTTTTTGAACATCAAATTCTAATATGTGGCATCAATGACGGGACTCAAAATGACACTGATCTGATTAGTCATTTACTTAGTGTATTGTCAGCCAAATGTTTTGCATGTTGCTAAGTTAGTAATACTTATAGGAGTATACCAATTAAAATCCTAAGTAACATCCTGAAAAGTACTTTGAACGGTCTCTCACCGTGACGTTAACAGTTGCAAAGAGTTGAACAGCTACACTGTACATTTAAATATCGCAGTCTTTATGGACAAAATTAATGACTGGAATCATATTTTTTTTTTCTTAGTTTACCCAGATATGGAATGCCAAATTTTTCTTTCTCGCAAAATGTGTGCGAATACAATTGTAAACGGAGCGGATGTACCTGAGCAGAGGTTGTGACACAACGGGAGACGTAAAGTGCACATAGAGGTTAAAAGGAAGTAACCTATCAGTTACTCAGCACCTGTCAATACTCACCACTATATAGAACAAACTGCGTCGCTGATAATTACAGTATATCAGACTGAACTGTGGTTGACCTACGGTATAGACTGGATTGAGACACATACAGTTGAATTCTAAACAGAAGTTCGGCCATGTAAATAAAAAAAAAGAGTTACAGGTTAAAAGTACAGGTTAAATTAGTGGACATAATTTATTTGTCAATATTCATAGACAAGGAAAAAAAACACACCTTACCTATGCAATATTAAAATAATAATTATATTATTATAATAAAATTGCAATAAATAGCACTTGCTATAAATGCAAGTGGTTCTTTATTTCCTCTTCATTTAAATATAACATGTCATTTATTTATTTTTTTACACACTATATTATTTAAATATATTTAAGAATGGAACGTATGTATCCTTTGGAAATATACTGTGTGAAATGCACGGTGTGTGCGCGTGCGCAGGCATGCTCCATGTTGAACCAAACACCTCTGACCCAGACGCTGAGACCCAGCTCAGCAGACCAGTGAAAACACATTCTCTCTCTTGTGGTTGTGTTCAGTACGACCCTCTTCCCTGTGCAAATGCAGCCAGTCTGACTGCACGTCACACACACACACACACTCACACACACCCACTTCATCTCTGCAGGTTCCTTTGCTGTGGTGGAAACTCTGTGGACAGTGACATCATCATGAAAGAGTGGAAATGTAGTCCTGGGCAACCGGTAACATCACAACACTGACGGCACCTTTTACTGTCATTAAAAGAACCACAGACGTTAAAGTTGAGGCTGAGAGACATTTATCCAAAGTGGAAAACCACAGAACAATCTCGCTGCTCTCAGGTTTGGATTTTTGTGAAGTTTAATATAATCCAGCCTAACATGTTGGCTCAGAGACTGACTTATGCCTTTTTTTATTAAACGAAGACCAGATCCTTTTACAGTGCATTTTTTAGATTAGTATTCACATGCTGGTTTTTGGTTTTTGTTGGTATATATAATATGATCAGGACTATTTGACATACTTTGTTATATTTGGATTATATTTGAGTATAAAACTACAAGAGATGACAAACGATTCTTGAGTGTGACAGCAATAAATACAGCAAAGTGGTTTTAAATTTTAAATCTGCTGCTATTTTTCTGCCAAGTCATTCTGGTTCCATGTTTATGTTTTTGTGGCTTTTTGGCTGTGATATCCAGTCCTTGTTCCAACTGGTGCATTCTGAGCTGATGACAGTGCTGGGTGTCTTCTTGTATGTCAGGGTTCATCAACTATATTTGTCGGCGGGCCAGATTTTTTCCTGGACAGACACCTTGTGGGCCAGACACTCAAATAAAACAAAATAAAAATCCCATTTTTATTTAAGGGAAGGTAAATAGAGTCATAAATGGTGAGGATTGCTGAGAGTTATTTAGGTCTGAGTTGTTTTTTTTTTAGTTGCTTTAATCGTGCTTATGCTTTGATGTCCATGCCTTGTTCCTGTAACCCAGTGTTTTTGTTATTTTGCACTTGAAGTGCATCTCCCTCATGCTGTCTGCTTCCTGCCGTGTCGAAATGTGACAGCTAGGTTAAGTTTTCTCTGCCCATTTTTTTTTTGTATGATTCTCAGGAATTATGCAAAAAGTTAAGTTAAGTTGCAGAGAAATCTGTTTTCTCCGTTCTCCAAAAATTCTTCACTGTAAAAAAACAAAACAAAAAAAACCATAACATTAAGGAATGAATCCTCCCTAGACTTTAAATTTCTGGCCAGAAGTGGATGGTCATTATGTAATTGCTCACAATTATGCCTTCCCTTCCCATCATTTGACATTCCTGTTTCTCATGAGCCGTTTTAAACGCAGTGAGGGTGAAGAGGTGGGTGTTGGGTGGTGGACTGTGGGGGCAGTTATTTTCTGACTCATGTATCTGCGCCGAGATAAGAGTTTCTGGTAAACTCCTGTGCTTTTTATTTGTTCTTGAATTCTTTTCCGTGGACTGGAGGCAAATGTTTGCATTACATAACAGTCAGGGAAGGCAAACACGGAGAGAAATTACTTGACATAATTATAAGAAATGGTTCGACTGAGTGTATACTCCCACTGTGGCTGCAGATTTGATCTGCAGCCAGTGGTGTTCCCTGCACGGCCCAAGGCTGAAAACACACAGGGTCTTAGTCAGTGTTTCCTTTCGCCAGCAATCAGCAGTTTTTAACTGAGAGCTGAGGACAGAGAGTTCCTCAACTTCACCATTGTCTGAAAACACATGTTGATGAAAAAGGTCACTGTGCTGTACATTTTTTTTTCAATTTCCTTTTTCTGTTGGAGAAGGTTAAAGGTCTACCGTGTGACAGTTAGGATGGTTTGTTTCAGTGTGAAGCTTTGAGGCGATTTTCTGGCTTTAGGGTCGTGTGCATTTCACATCACCATGTACATATAAAGATAGCCTGGCTGCAAGTTGTGGTCAAAATATGTTTTTGGTGCTGAGAATAATTCATAGGGGTCTAAATTTATGCTGCCATAAATGAGAATACTACTGTACACGCCGTGTTGGTGCGGAGGAAGAGTGAGAATGAGTAAAAGGTTTTTCAACCTCTAGCCTGTGATTTTCTTCTCTTTTTTTTTGCTAGCATTAAACACAACCACACCCAGTCATTTTGTTTGTTATTTGTCATTTGACTAACCATATAAATAATTTGGCCTGGAAACGGAGCTATAGTAAATCCACCCTCTTTTATTTATCCCATCTAAGAGACAAATTCAGTCATACCACAAGTATTTCTTTGGTTCAATCTGTAATTAATCCTTGGACTGAAAATACTTCCCCCTGTTCGAGTGATGACAAAGAACACATCACCATGTAGTCTTGAAGATTGTGACATTAAACTTTTTTTTCTGACTCTTTGGGCAACCCTTGACCTGCTGTCTTTTAAAAAAATTGTCCTGGCACGTCACTTTTCTGCCAGGAAATGCATACTGCTCACCCAAACAACATGTACATCAAAACATGCATATATATTTAAAATGTACATCAAAACATGCATATATATTTGACATTTACAGCTGACAATGATCTGTTTTGAAGCTAACATTCCACATATGTCAGCAGTAATCATTCCCTCCAACAGTAGCAGGCACCATTTTTCATGTTGCATGTGTTCGTTTTTTTTTTTGCAGGTATGAACTTTCCTGCAGATCTGTTTATCTCTAACCTAAACATACGTGTTTACAGAGCCAGGGTCTGCGCAGGTTTAGGGCACCCTCTCAGAAGGGCAGGGCAGGGCAGACGAGAAAGGAGTCAGACTGTGAAGTGATATAACACAGCTGTCAGGCAGATTGCATTACACAGAAAAGGGCTCACACGACTGCATTAACTTTGTCTGGTCCCACTAAAAGACAGCAGGGAGTGAAATACAGATGTTGTGGAGGTACAGGTCTGAGGAGAGTCACTGACGCTTAACCAACACGGAGCTGGTGATCTAAATGTGAAAGTTAAGAATATAATGACTGTAAATTTAAGATATTATTTATTATGATTAAATACACTTACATGTTGAAGGCTGTTCAGAACATTAGTTTAATGCCTTAAACATGGGCTCTGCCATTTTTGCCTCCTGGGTCACATGCTTCATGCATTAGCCACTTCACATTGTCTCCCTGTGTGATTGTTGTTAATGTTTGTGAATGGACCAAATTCAGCCCGGCTGTGCTTTACAACAAAATCAATCATTGCCTAATGCATCCAATCAGCCTGGGTAATTAGTAGATAGCAGCGGATCCTGCACTGTCTCCAGGAACTGATAAAACTGTCAAATAAAATTCCAGCTTGCTTTTCAAAACAATGTAATGTCGCTTTAACAGCGGGGGGTTCAGTCCTGGGGAAAGTGCTTCTTTATTGCACTTTATTGCACAATGTTCAGTATTAATTCAGTACTAATTCAGTATTAAATATCTGGTTCTTTGGAATTACAAAAGTGGAAAGTAAAAAGTGGTAGTAGGAGCAACACAATTCATTTATATTTTGCTTGTTAACATGGTTTGAACTAGTAGTCTTAACTTAATTACAGAGAATGTTGAATGTACTAGTTTCTTTCAAGTTGATTGAAATTAATCAATTTAAAAATAAGTTTCGGTCTCGATACCGTCAGGGAGTGACGCCAATGCCTCCGGAACAAAAGGTAGCGCTAATGCGCCGGAAAGAAAAAAAAACAACAACAACAATAAAGAGACCAAAATAAGGACCGCGAACGTTGGGGGGAGTCTCCATATTCTTCGGCAAGAAGTGACGCAGTCTCTGGAAAGGCAAATACTTCAAATGTTTACATGCACCTGTTCGGGTGAGTTAGACGACAGTCCACTTTATGTGTAATTTCAAATATAGCAATTACAACTGTCCGTGAACTTTATCTAACTATGTATGCGTATTCGCATTACAAGATAGGGAGCGATAGCTATCACCCGCTAGTGCTAATTTACTGTCGACAAAAGTCGTCAGTTCAGTAATTGTTGACACATGTTGAGGACTGTGTTCTAGAATATCTTAAGGTTCTTACGGTTTTATTTTCCATCTTGCCATTGTGTCCAAAAATATATACATACATTTAAAAGGCTCTATAGCAATAAGTACTCTCACTTTTCCTTGAATTAAAATCTTCATTTACCTTGAGATACATAATATAAGGTATTGATTAAACGTTAATTCTATTTTTCACCTTAATTTTAGTCCATTTTTTTTAACTTCATATATTTGTCTAGGCCGTCTTTCTTTCCAATTTTTTTGAACTATTGTTATCTACCTCATCGTTTCAAATTCCCTTTTATCTTCCTTCACCACGGAGTAAACAGCAAAGAAAACTTTAGAAAAGAACTGTGCACTCCTGGACAATTTATGCCAGTTAATTCTGTTAAATTAAGGCACATGACCTAATTTAAGATGCTAACATGAAATTATTTTGATTATTTATTATGATGTAGATGCTGAATGAGAGTGCATCGTTTAAGGGGTCTGTGTCTACATAGGCGAAGATCCAGATAACCTTCTACAGGAATATGTGGTATGTACGTTCTACTTCCACACTGCTCTTATTCTCATTCATAATTACTTATACTGAAAATATTAATTAATTAAAAGCATGTGTATTATAATTTTCAATATATATATTACTGTTTCATAACAAAAATGTACACAATGTTTCTGTTTGTTGGTAAATTAACTTAAAGCAAGAATAAATGGTTCTAAAGACATTTTGTCAAATTCAACAAATCCCATGGCCTGTCAGCTGTCTGACCCCCAATTTATACCTCCATTCTAATTTTCACTCTACATACATCTATAGTATCAGTATTTTATGTTTGTCCTTTTCTTGGTGGAGCTTGCTTCATTTCACAACACTCTCACTCAACAAGAGAATGCTGGGAGATTATGCAACAGCAATAGCTGTCTTAGACGCATTCATCACCAGTTTGCTTACATTTTTAAAAAATATAAATCTCATCATTATTTGTCCGTGAGTGTTTGGGCCAACTTGCACTTGACTAAACAGTGTCACAGATCCAGCTTTTATTGATGCTCTGCACAGTTTTACAACCTCGAACATTAACGTCATCGTAAACCTATTCTATTGGGAATGGATTTGTCACAGAACATTAACGTCATCATAAACCTATTCTATTGGGAATGGATTTGCCATTGAGTGAAAATGTGGTTTTCTTCTGTGATAAAAATTAATGGGTGGAATAAAGATGTCTTACCAAAGTTTGACCACTGTGAATCCAGAACAACAAGGTGCAATGTATAAAAAAAACAACAGGCCAGTGAAGGCTTGTGCAGCTTCATCACCAACTTGTTGCAATTTGCAGTTAGCATGTAATAATAGTAAGTGAGTCCCTTATTTGTCCCACAATAGGGAAGTTTGAGACTTTACAACCAACACAGGCTGCCACAGGAGGTGCATTAGGGAAATGTGGTCCCTCTGGGAATTGAACCCAGGACTCTCTGCTTTCTGCTTGCAAGAAAGGTGTGCTAACTGCTACGCTATAGAACCATTTCAGATGTCATAAAAGCGTAAGAATGGTTGATCTAGCTAATTGACCTTCTTGATGCCCGAGGGTCTTTGTGTAGAGGTGGCGTATTCCCATGTGTGCAGATGTTTTCTCCAACAGTCCAGTTACATGATGGATTAATGGCATAACTTGGCAAATATGACAGTGAAGGTTTAACGACAGATTGTGATTTTTTTTTTTTTTTGCGTATTCAGAAATTTTACAACATTTCAAGCAATCATTACCTGGGTCAAGATTGCACTTTCTCCACAACTTCACTGTTTTCCCCCCAGGGACTATAAAGGACCCACATTTCACAAAAGCGGAGAGGCGGTGTTACATTTCGTTCCACAGCCTCTAAACATTCACATTGAGACAGAAAGCCAATTTCACCCTTAATGGTTTGAACTTAGGAACACAATGACTTAACTTAGAGCCTCCAGAGTTTGATATAATGGTAGGAGGACTCAGCAGTCATAACTCTCTGTCAACTTAGTGTATACTGCAGAGGGTGGAGAAGGACCATATGCTCAACTATTACTTCATTGCAAGCAGTCTCTCTGGCAGAGGTCCTATTAAGACAATATTGTGCAACCTTTCTTCACGCTGTGATAAACGTGAAAACTTTATGTGATGATTAAAAACAACTAAAAACAGACTTCAGCACATGTTAAGGGAAAAGTTTAGGACTTATTAATGTTTTTAAACCTTTAAAATTTGCTCTGAAATTGTTGTTTACTACTATGAATGAGAGGCCCTATTCTGACAAAATGTATGTACGATATAAAACATTACGTAATCTGCCAGATTCACAATAGACAACGAAACGATGCCCTTTTATAAAAGCCCATAATAACTTAACTAAATCGTTACCCACAAGTGTACAGCATCACTATGACAAAGGATATGCTGTGTTGTATGAAACCTAAAACTCTTACCCCATCTAGTGGTTTGAGTAATTACATAAAAATAGAGAACCACCTCGGGCAGAGAGTATTTGCTCTGTGCAAAACTAACTACAATAACATATTTTTTGCAGTTTAATCTTACAAATGTGTTCTGTGGTTTTAATGTAGACAACAGTCACTTCATTATTGTTGGTTTGCAGTAAAACATTTGTGAATGACATCATTTTGAAATTAAAGGTAATATGTTTTCATTTCCACAGGTTCTTGCATTTAAGGACTGAAGATTATTCATCTCATACGGCCCACTCCACTTTTTCTGGGTCACAGGTGGAAGACAGGAGCCAATCCCAGCTGACATTAGGTGAGGGTGGGGAACACACACTGCCACAAATAACAGCCAACCAACCATTTACACTCATAACTGCATTTACTTTAGAATGTCCAATTAACCTGAACTCAACCAATCATGTTTAGACTGTAGGAGGAAACTGTAGAACCTGGAGAGAACCCATGTCCACACAGGAAAACAAGTCCACCCAGATGGACTGGAATTAAACTAGAGAACCGGTCATCTTCCTTCAGTAAGGTAAGAGCACTGACCATGTGTTCAATGTTTTTTTTTTGCATCAGGTCAGGTTTACCTGCTAGACATGGATTATTTGCATCCAAATGACAGAAAAACAGGGAGGAATAATATATAAAGCTAATGACAAAAACACACATACATGTCTTGATACATTACATTTTATTTTATATAAAAGAAGACAATGGTTGCAATATTAACATGTATTCACACACAGAGCCATCACTGGAAAACTACTGTATCCAACATGGCTGCCAGGCACTGAACAATGTTGGATGTCATTAAAACATCTACGTGTTCTTCCAAGTGTCTCTTGGGATCCTGTAGAAGGAAGAAGGGGAAGAGACATTCCAAATTAAATAAGCATTAGACAATACGTAACCTATTCACTGAAAAACAGAATATATTATGAATAACAACAAATTCCATTACCTGTTTTCCAACGTTCTTAATTGCCAGTTGCTCTGGGGTCATTTTATCCTCTTCTTCAACAGCCTGAGGTTAAAGTTGTAAAATAAATAAATATTATATATAATAAATCGTTATAAACATTTTCTACAATTTAATGCACTTAATGTAAATAATACCAGCCTCAAAGACACTTCTGATAGTGTCTTGACTTCCAATTAATTACAAGTTTTGTTAAAACAACAAACATTTTGGAATAAAAAAAAAAAAAAGTACCTTATTGTAGTTCTTGGCAAGCTCCAGCATTTCCTTGACAATAGTCTCATTGAGTTTGCAGTGGTCACTGTAGTCCTGAAGGGTCAGACCCTCCATCCAACTCTTCTTATGCAGGTTTAAAAGCATCTAAAGACAAAGGACATGTTTTTCTCTTCTTCTAGAAGAAACACTGAGCTGTGGATTATATCAAAACTGTATTATCAAAATCTGTCTCCCAACCTTTTATATCAAAACGGTATTATCAAAATCTGTCTCCCAACCTTTTGCTCCAGCTCATTTTTCCTGTAGTTGATGGTGATGGAGTAGTAATGTCTGTTTAGTCCATGAATCAGCGCCTGCGATACGAGATATGATGTCACTTTCAAACAACAAAAAGCATAAGTGTTGAGCACATTCAAGGAGTGGGACATAACGATTTTTGTCTGTGATAACACCAAGCACTTAGTCATACACACTGTACACAAGCTGCAGTTGGCCATAAAGTTTAATCTCACATGTGGTAACAGTTAGTGATGCAGCAAGAAGACTTGTCAACCACTTGGAGCCAAAAAGCTGTGTGGAATTCTAAGGTTGTCAGTGCTCCAGTGGCTCTTCAAACAAAAGTCTTGCTGTGAAATCAGTGCTTTCAGATGAAACAATCAAAAAAGGTGTCAGGAAATCACTTGTCATGAGGGAGCCACAGTGGGAGTTGGTGGAACAGCTGATTCCAGCACTGCAGTTTTTGGACAAGGCTATGGAAAGGATGTGTGGTGGGAGGCACGTAGGGTTGGCTTTCATTTATCCGGTGATTATGAACATGATCAACACCACTCTCTCTGTTGAAGTATTTGTCCCGGCTCCCGTTCACACCTTCAAGACCAAGACTTGAGAGCGTCTAACAGCCAAACTGGAGTCTAATTGCATGATGAAATCTGTCCCTACTGAGGCCTGCGTGACTGGTGCCCTGTTCCAGCAACTTCAGTTTATTCCAGAGAGTAAAACACAACAGTGAGTAAGCATTTGCCAAGCCCAGGTCATTGCCCTTGTGTTTTTACCAGGATTGAAAAAAACAACCTGAGACAGAGCAGGAATCTGAAGAGGACTATGTTTGCAAAATGAGGAATTTACTCCAGTGATATTTTTAATGACTCAAAGAATATGGATGATGTCATCACCCACTCGTTAACGTTTTTATCACAGTGTCGACTTAAAATTGATTTTGGATCAATTATTCTACCACAGTCTGAGATAGGTTGTGGTGAATGTATTACCTGGATTGATGGTTTATTGAGATGGCCCAAGTTTGATGTCGTTTGCCTTGGTTCATGACCCAAAACCATCATGTTGGCATTGATTAATCTAAAGGCATCAATGACGACCTGTGAGAAAGCAACGCAAAAGGAACATAAAACATTCTCATCAAGTTGATTGCCCTGTCTACAGCATTTCAAAAAGAAAATGACCAATTGACCAAGAAATAACTCACCTTTCCTTTGACACTCTGGATGGGATCCACCACCACTGCAACAGCTCGCTCAGACAAGGCTTCAAAGCTCTGCTGTGTGTTGATGTCAACACCTGACAACCAACAGCCAAAACCAGGGTGACTGTGGTACCACCCTACCACCATCTCTGGTCTGAGGATCAGCAAAGAGAGAAGATGTTTTAAGATATGTGTTTAAATGTGTATTATGCAGTACTGAAGAAAAGACAACAATCAGCAGAAAGGTGTAATAGCAATGATGTAAAGACATACGATACAAAATCGTAAGAGAAAAAAACAAAACATTAGGAACAAATGCAAAAGTGCACAGTATCAGGCTAGTATCAGTATCAGGAATTAGGATAAAAGCAACAACTCGATAAGCAAAGAATATTTCAAAATACAAAAACCTTTCAAAACATGCTGTCTCAAAACAACTTTAGTTTTACCTGCCAGTCTGTTTCAGCATGTCCAGCATCTTAGCCTGGAACACTGGATCTACTGCTTCAACACTAACACCCTGTAGGAATCACAATAATGATGTTAAGAGAAAAGGCAATGCATGAGTGCAAGATAATATTTTTATTTGTGTAGTGTGGTTCATTGATATTTTGGACTTCTGAGATTAGTAAAAATACATACTGTTCCTGACTGGGGCATGGCAAACACATCTATCACTCGCACTGTGTAATCGTCAACAAACTCTCCCAGCATCAGTCCCATGACCTCCATTGGTACACCAGCACGTCCATGTTTCAACATCTAGTGATTGAAGTGACAGTAGAAAATATTAAATATATACCGTTAAACATATAATTGTTAAAAAAAAAGTGCAGATATTGAGGAATTACCTTGAGCAGGGCCAAAGAGGAGATATACACCTGCTCTGCTGTGTCCACAGCTGGTGCATCTGTTGGGGGGCCCTAAAAGGACAAACCAACATTAATTTATCAGATGTTCCAGTCTTTCTCAAATGCAGCTATTGCTGCTCTATCAAACAACTACATTTCAATAAATAGTAAAAAAAATATGATCATCTTACCTGACCAAGTCCAGGCATTCCACCCCCAAGCCTAAGCAGCCGATCCATGATAGGATCTGTTTAAAAAGACATAACACGAATGAAGAGTTGTAACAACAGATACAAATATGAAATAAATTCACCATTAACGAATGGAACACAACCGAATCGCTAGCTAGCATAGAATTGGCGTTGACAACTGTATAACCTACAGACAATTCATTAAATTAATGTACTATATGCATGTAGCAATAAACAGGGGATGTCAGTAATAACCAAGTATTACTCCGTGGCTGTGTTCAACAACTAAAACAGTCAGTTTGTTAGAGAAAGCGGTGTTAGCCTGTTAGCTAAACCATGCTAAATTAGCCCGTGACATGTAGCAGCACTGAAACCAACTTAGTAAGAATTCTGGCTTTGTCTCCGCGGAGTAAAACATACATATTTAGACATATGGAATATACATATTTACTTACGTGCTTTCAAAACTATCTGTTGTTCGAGAGAATGTGTTTTTCTTCAGGAGCAGCAGAGTTAGTGCCGACTGGTTGCAATGAATCAGCCCGATTTGTGTTATTCATGCAACTACTTCCGTCGCTCCAGTGACATCACAGCTGACGATAGCGTAATACAGACACAAGAGGGCGAAATAGTTATAATAGCAGATTACATTATCTATGGAATTTGCACTACAACCAGTACTACTGCAACAATTACTGATGCTACTACTGGTGTTAAGTACAAATACTACTGCTGGTGTAATTAGTACTGTGAGTACGAGTAACTACTATTACTACTATTGATGCTGCTGTCGTTGATACTTTTACTTATGCAACTGCTACTTTTAGAAAAATGCCATTCATATTTTTTTTCCAAATTACATTTACATCATACTTTAAAGGTGCTTAGTTATCAACTATGAATTAGAGAGAGTAGCATTAATTATAACTGGAGTATATAAAAAAACTGTGAGCTATGCATTTTAGGTATTATCTGCACATAAAAGCTTGCTTTCCAGCACTCAGCTATGAATCCTTATCAGCAGCAGTAGGTGTGATATAAGATTCAGAGCCTCTATGTTAACACTAAGAAGAATGAGGACCTCTGTGATGTTTATGTGCCTACTCAAATTTCAACATGGAAGCATTTCAGTATTCCCAGAGGAGCCACAAACTATAAGCTGAGGTCACACCGTCAGTGGTTTTTTTCCCCCCCCATTTTGTTTTGGGAGAAATTGCTGTTTCATTTCATATATTCTCTAGCAGGGAGATAGATGCCAATCCTGCAGAACAGCTCTTAATATTGTGACCCAGCAGGGTTGCTGCCAGATAGGTCAGCTGGCAGGCTAATTCCTCTGGTGGAAGTGGAATGAGCAGATAATTATCCACATTCCTCAGTTCCTCCCTCTCCACACCCACCAGACCTCCTGCTACCTTGTCACCATTTAATAATCTCTAGGCTTTGAACCGGGATGGGCTTACCCCTGATTGGTTGTTCTGGTTTTCTCTTTGATTTGGCCTTCACTATAAAGACATGTATTATTAATACTAAATCCAAACTCAGGGGCTACAGTGTTCATCCCAGATTGGTTAGTAATGCATTGTCTCACAATGGTACTTTAGCAGGCACTGCCTTTATAATGATTTGATGCAAGCAATAAATGGATCTGTAAAGACAATACACGAGGCGATCCGTCATCAATTTTCCCTTTAAGTTAAGACAGTTTTCAGGTAATTGTTATTGCACGTGTGTTTTGATGCTTACATATGGTCAAGACTTTGCAGGATCTCAAATTAATTTATGTGGTTGTTCAATGTGCAATGAAGTCATTAAAAAAAGGCTTTTGTAAATGACTGGAAATAACACTTGTTATTTGAAGTGCAAGATATACACATCTCTGCTCAGTGATTAGTGAATTTGAAGCCGAGCAAATGTAAAAATTAAAAAAAAAAAGTCTTGAAGAAATCAATCAGATTAATCATTAATCTCATCTGCCTTGATGTGATAGATTTTTAATCAATAAATCCCACCCCAACCAGGTAAAAACCAACCGCAGACGTCATCTGTTAGAAGACTATTGCTGCTGATTATTCAGATAGGAATGACTTGTAATTCTACACCAGCATGAAACCTTAATCCTACCAGCAGAGGCAATCAGGAAGAGAAATCCGATGCTTTAAGAGCTTCTCTGCACCCTGGTAAAATTTGGACTTAGCTTTGCTCTGTAAATCAAAAGGAACAGCAAGAAAATAGAGGCCTGAGCACTTAAGTGTTTTCTGTGTGTGGATACAAATGAATGCAGTGAGAAAATAATGACACCGTGGAATGCGGCAGATACCCCAGTGCATCTCTACTGATAAACTAGTTTAAGTGATTGAATAAGGTCAAACGTGTTGAATTTCATGTTAAATATTTACTTTGAATTTTGCTGAAACAGCTTATATTTTATTTATTGTAAATAAAAGCAGTTAATTAAACCTGAATAACGGAGACAAATGCCTATAGATGGGATGCCTAAGGGGGAAATGGGCATCACAACCCTGGGGTGCAGGACAATATAAAAATTCCACAAGTTGCTGTCATTCAAAACACATTTTTTAAGACCCCAAATTATAGTAAAAACATTCAGGTGTTAATACAGTTTTCCTAGACCATGCATTTGAGCATTTAGACTTTTTATCGTTGCATTTGTCAACAATGTATAATGTTAGCAATGGATGAAACATCCAATTTCAAAAACAGTATGTTTATAAATTCATAATATACCACAAAAACCCAAACTTTGACTGATAACAATTTTACAAAAAAAACTGCATTTGGTAGTGTTTGTATTACATTTGTGGTTGGAAAGAGAAAATGAAAAGAGCTGGAGCACAGACAGCAGGTTTATTGAAGGGGTGGACCTGGTCTAATGAGGGAGGCTGTTCCTCACTCTGAGTGAAAAAGCTTTCAACATGGAATAGTGAATGTCCGTGCAAACTGTAAAGAGAAGAGGCCGAGTATTTGACTACAAAAATGGGTATTCAATATAACAATAGTTATAGGATATTGCACAAATGTCCAGCAGCAGTGACAGAAATGTACAGCAATGTGCAGTTGGAGTAACAAAATAGTGCATATGGCAAACTGAGAGCATTCTTGGCTGCACAGTAAAAGGAAGGAACGACCTGCAGTACTACTCCTCCAGGCATTTAAAGAAGAAAGAACCATCTGCTCAGCCTAAATACCCATTCTGATAAAGCCATGAAACTGTTGGACAGAAAATAGAAAACAATAAAACCCCGCTTTTTACATCAGTTGCTTTTCCTGGACCATAATGTTAAAAAAAAAACCACATTTACATTATCAAATTTAGGCATTTGTAAATTAATTTTGTCTCTTTTTTTTAAAGTGAAAATATTACAAGAAGGATTTGAATCCGTGCAATGGGCTGGCAAACTGTCCAGGATGTACTCCACCCTCGCACGTAGATAGCTACTTCCACGACCCCGAAAGGGAATAAGTGGTAGATAATTAATGGATGGGTGGGTCTTTAATTTGAAAATGCACTGAAACTATCCAGCAAAATGACAAAAATAATAATAAAAAAAAGCCTGGATATGTTCTCACTTAAAGTTTAATTCTATTTTTTTAAACCTGAACTAACATAACAATCGAGTTAAAACCCGGTCTTGATAACTGCTAAATCTTTTTTTTATTTTTTTTGAACAGTTAAATTGATTGTATAATACAGCTATTGATGCATCTGTGCATTTTATTTCGTTCCAAAACGGAGTCATTGAAAATGCTACATTGTCAAACCAAACCAGTCCTAATCAAGGTTCTCCAGGTTCAGTTTCCTGTCTGTGGTCATGGGCTACTTCCTTTAGTTCCTGTACCATTTTAGTCTTACCTGTAGTTCCGTGTAATAAATGCACATACAACCTTATAGATATAGAAATTTTCAAGGCACAATTCATTAACTGAAAACTGTCTATCCTAAAGGAAAATTGGTGACAGGTTGCCTGGTGTATTGTCCTAACAGATCCATTTATTGCTTACATCAGATCACTACAGACGATGTCACTGTTAGCACTTCTCACCAAAATGCAATAGGAAATATGCAAACAACGTATGGTTCAACCTACGGTTCATATAAGGGTGAACCCAACCCAACCCAAGTGATAAGCACTTGGGTTGGGTTATCCTGCATCTTAACCAGTGAAAGGCATTTGGGCCTGAGATTGCTGCAGCTCTCACATGAACAGGATGGCGAGGTAGATAGAAGTGAATTGATAATAAGTGTTCTTATGACCGGATTATTTCCATACCTAAACATTTGCTGTTATTTTAAAGCAACGAGACAAAACTACTACAATGTTAAAGTAATACTATTTGGTGAAGTACCTTTTTTGCATTGCACTTTATGTGTCTGTGTGCGCGCGCGTGTGTGTGTAATTTCATATTATATTTCATTGCATCCTGTATCTTTGACATGAAGTGAATTGGGGGAGGGGTTGAAAGAGGAAGTGTGTGTGTGTGTGTGTGTGTGTGTTTGTGTTTATGTGTGTGGCAGCAGCAGCAGCAGCAGGAGGAGGTGGGGGTGAAGAATTTTTGGTATGCGCGGACGACAACATGATGAAAGGCGGAGAGTGCAGAGCTTCGTCTGCACGTCAAACGTTGAAAGAAACAACAGCATTTTTGTCTCCGTGTGACACCAAACCCCAGACACCGACACCGTACTGACACGGCCCTGTCGCTAAAGCAGAATCTTCGCCCCCCACTTTGAACGTCGCTTCCTCTTATCCTATGCGAACACCCCTGCTGGCACGGGCCGATGGTTGAGTCTGTATAGTAGGTTGGACTGAGCTCTTCTGCTGCAGGACGTCGTAGATCAATGAACTGGACCAGAGGCTTGGTCCATCGTCGCCGCTGCTGTGCATCAAATTGTATAGATGTGTCAGTCTACCTGTGCGGCAGGAACCAGGCTTTATTTCTGACCAGAATTCTCTTCAGTATGCGGATATCCTGATCAGACCGCAGGCTTTAACCCGACTTGGATTCCCGTGTGGTGGCTCCTCTCTGCGATTTTTTTAAATTCCGGGGCAGAAAAATAATCTGTAACCTCCAGGATGATCTTCGCAAACACAGGCAACCCACTAAAGACAGTCAATCGTAAACAGGTAGGACAAAACATACGAACACACACGCGTTTGTTGATCATTTATCTGTTTTAAATATCTGCCTACTTTTGTCATTGCTCACACTTGAGACAGCATTGGATTAAGAAGCGGAATAATGGCAGCCGGAATGACATTGGAGAGCCCTCTTTGGATTCCTTATGGAATATATATATATATAATCATATTCCGCGAATGGGAATCCCTAGAGGATGACATTTTTACAAAACATTAAATCACCTCACAATTAATCGACCTTTTGTAGGGCTTTAACGGCCAAAAAACAACTACTTCTTTTAACGTATCACCATCAGTGTTCATCATCGACCAAACAAATGATCAAATAATCCCCACAGATCGCAAATTTCCATTGTTCGATGTCCTAATCGCTATGATTTAACCAACACGGAAAGCCCAAACGTGCCTCTGATCCAATGTTGTAGCTCCACCACTCATAGTTTCTCCTGTGCAAATAACCTTGTTTGTCCAGTCAATCGCCCTCCACTGGTCAATATGCATGACAGTTACTGTAGCCTGATTTATAGGTTAACATATTCTGCCTGAAACAGAGAGTGCAGAAAGACTTAGGGATGGCACAGTGTAATGTGTGTCAGTGCGAGTCAACTGTGATGTGTGGCATCCTTCATTTTGACCTCTCAAGTCTGCAGAGAGAGAGAGCAGAGCAGATGTATGGGATCCGCTTCGCCACCAAACCCTTAGGTTTGGTTTGGTTTTGTGGTTTTGGTGGTGAAGATTAACCATGAAGAGGAAAAAGAAAGCATAACGTGATGTCAGTTGAATAGGATTGTGGATTTGGATGATACATTAAACGATATGTGACACATGGAGGTGTCCCATACTATCCTGATTCCAGTGACAGGAAAATCCTGCCTAGCTCGCTGACACACTATTGGCGATTTATGTCCAGTGCCACAAGAGTGAGCCTGCATCAATCTAGGACTAAATGATTCATAGCAGTGTTTGTTAAATGGAGGGTCGTGACCTAGAGGGGGTAGCGTGCATGAATTAAATTTGTCGAAGGACTGGATAATAGCGTTATCCTGCTTAATACCAACTTCATCTGCTCACGCATCATGATAGTTTCCCCTCTGTGTATGTTTGGCTTGGTCGAAGATGTATGTATTAATGGTGAAGCGTTAGCCAATCAGCTGCAAACACAGTTGGATATTAATCTTAAAGGCCTGGTCATTGGGCACTACAGTGGTGCAGTGGTTAGCACTGGTGTCTCACAGTCAAAATAACACTTGAGGATAGGCAGATGACCTTTTGTAACAGAGAATTCTGGAATACTTCCACAAACTATAAAAAAAAACAATACTAAGAATAACCTTAATTGTGTAGCTGAGTTTTAATGGCGTATGTCTCAATAAAAAAACTGGTTGACCTCTCCAGGGTTTAACCACCCATTTGAGTAATGTCGTATAAATTTGGCTTCAGCTGTTACTTCTACAGGAAAAAAAAAGAACAGGACAAGATCACGATCATTTAATGTTCTTATTAAACTAGACGCCATTGGAGTTTTCAGGTGTAGTATTTCATTGCTGCGTTTCGCTGTGACATGAATCTGAAACCGGGTACATCTCGGTCAGAAAAAACACCGAGTCAGTCAATCAAGTCCACTATGAGGTTAGATGTTGTGAAGTACGGTCTATATCTGCTCGGCTCTGCTGTGGGGCAGATGTAGCCTGTCTCCAAGGCCTCATGTGAACCCTGGTGGTCTCAGATGAAGTGACAGTGGTAATTCCCTACCAACAAAAATGCTAGGCCTTAACTTGAACGCATACCAGGCCCAACAGATGTTCCTGCTGCAGCTTTCACAATCACACATGTGAAATAAAAGGCCTCCTATGCATGTTTTCCATCACTGAGGAACAATGGAGGAATGTCTCAGTCATTTCTGTTGGCATGTCATGTAGTTGTGGCCAGGGCTTTGGCACATGGCGTGGATTGTCCTTTGGTTATGGACAGATGGTGTGATCCTGCCATGCGTTATCTTTGAACCGATCTGGAGTGTGTTTTGAGGTGGCTGTGAGCTATTTTAATGAATGAGTAAAGGGGAAGGAAATGCTTTGCAGGGCAGCACAGTGTGTTGTGGTTTGACTCAACGGAACCAAGGATACTGGAGAATTGTGATAAACACCACAGCAGGGCGTATAGGTTAACACAAGAAATATATATTTAGTTTGAGGTGGCACTTTACTACACGGTGTGACTAAAATGCTGCTAATGTCATCGCCATTAATTCAGACCGATAAAGACACGCCATGTCCCATTCACATTTAACCCTTTTTATAGCGACATCTGAAATGTTATAATGAGGTTATGTGGACGTACCTGCCAATTAGCTACAGCCAGCGAAAATGTCCGTAGTGCTTCGCTGATTTCAGAAAAGATGTCATTTGTATAGTAACTCTTTTCTGATCATTTTATAGCCTCAATCAGAGTTCCCATGAAATAGAAGGTCTATTTACTCAACTACATTGACAGTGTCAAAGAAATTAAGTGAAAATAAAAGGTGGGAGAGTGAAGGTGAGTCTAGGAACTGGTTACTCTGACCAAGGGCTAATCAAATGTGTTGACCAATCGTATTTATCCTCTCACTTTTGTCCATCTTCTGTTATTTCCCTTTCGGTTCACGTGCAATTGTAACTTTAAAAAAACCCAGATATTCTACAGAAAAATCTAGGTTACTACTAGGTTATAGAAAAAAAGACATTAATGTAATTTTGAACTAACTTCAAAGCACCGATATTACATTATGTGTTTAATGATCCAGTGGAAATGTATTTCAATATTTCATCTGCAGTCCTGGCCAGTATCATGACAGTGCTGATTAAATATATCTACGTATGAATTTGTGATCCCTCTCATATCATACCTCTGCCTCATATCAGTTGTTCTTAAACAATGGCTTGCTCTCTCCCTAATGGCCGACAGGGAAATCCGCTTGCCCTTAACCTTAGACAAATCGCCTAGTTGTTAAATACGGCTGTTTTATTGTCCTCTTTGAGGTGTGTAAATATGCTAATAATCTTCGTGAGATAAATTATTTCGGTATACTGTGTCGTAGCTGAACATTGCAGACTTGACCTGCTGTATTTCAGTACTGATGATATTGTTGGTACTTGGAGAGCCAGAGGTGAACTGCCGCCCTGTACCGTTGTCTGAATTGCCCAAACGATTGGATCTATACTTTATACAAATCCTCACAGACATTACTTTATACTTTGGTTCTTGTAGATGTAGATGTTCCCTCTAACTACCCGAAGATTGGTGGTAGCTGTGAAATAGTTCCATTAAGCTGAACTTAATACAAATGTCAACAACCCTGAAGTAAAAGCTAAGGTCGCACAGATTGCGCTCTGCTGCAGTATTGGACAAAGCTAGTAGCATCTAGCGCAAAAAAATGTAAATGACAAAGCAAAGTCCCTCCATAAGGCGCGGGTTAAAATCCCTCAAAAGCGCAGTTGAACGACTGCAGTTCCCGAACAGATGGACCTCTGCCACTGGATGCCTGCGTCTCACACGGCAGAAAACTGATTCACGTACGGCTCATCAACGCGAGCTCTTCGTTACGCTGATGACAGAAACGACTTGCTGTTTGTGTTTGCGCTTCCACACAGAGATGAGACGTTCCTGTGATCACTGTTGACCTGAGTTCAAATCAGATTATCTAGCTGCCGTACGCTCCCTAACAGTGCTTCAACTGTCTGCAGTCTTACCCCATGACTCCATCCAGTCCCAGCAGCAGCAGCAACAGCAGCAGCACAGGCCTGGAGCAGCTCAGCAAAACCAACTTGTACATCCGAGGCCTGCCTCCTGCAACTACAGACCTGGACCTGGTCAAACTCTGTCACCAGTAAGACGACACACACACACGCACATATACACACACACAGAAACAAGTCTGCATTGGACGTTGCATTAAATTTCATTAATTTGGAACAAGTCTGCATTAAAGACGTTGCATTAAATTTCATTAATTTGGGGAGTCTAAAAATGCCGTATTCGTAACTAAAACCAGTTAATTCCAGACACCAATCTTAACCTCGGCACAAACAACATCTTGCCTCTTGTGCATGAGGTAAAGTATGCAAGACTTGCCACATACTGGTAATACACAAAGATCAAGTACCCTCCCCAAACTCCTCTTCAGGGAGAGCCATAAACACAGCTTTACTGACCCAGTTCCTATTGCCTAACACGCATCAAATCCAAACGAACTTGGTAAAAAAAAAGTAGTTGTAAAAAATGAATAAAAAACACACTCATCCAAATGTGTCCTCTGCAGTGAGAGTGAGAGTTTTTTGTGCTTGCTTAATACAACACATCTCTGACACGGCTGGGATTCGAACCAGTAACACTCCAAATAAGGCCGTAGGCTGTCTTAATTAAAGACGTTTAATTTTTGTGATTTACATATATGAGAAAACAAAGACCACAGGCCATGTTTTGCTATCCATGTAAACAACATATACACAGTACAAACAGGGATCTCAATAATGACATTCTACAAAGTCTTTATTGATAACTCGTTATACAAAAATGTATTTAGTATTGAAGTACTTGTTGACAACTAGTTTTGAGCGTTGCTTGGCAATTTGGGGATTATTTCAGCGTAGTAGAATTTGTTCTTTTCCCTTTACTCCTCCATCATAGTAAACAGAATATTTGTGGTTGTGACCAAAACCTCAAATATGGACCAGATTTTTTTAAAATACATTTTTAGTCAAAAGAATGTCATCTTAACTTGGCATGACATTTAGATACTGTGGGATCCATATTACAGCGGCAGTAAATTCTTTAAAATGTGAAGTTTAGTTGTCATTTATTGACATTTTCTTCTGAATTAAATGGTAAACTGACCATAACAATAATAATAATAATAATAATAAAACAGACGTTACTAATAGTTATTTCTGTCCACACAGACTCTGTATATAAACAGGCCCAAATGAAAAAAAAAAAAACAGCTTATTGGTCTGTGTCCAGTACTCCAGTACAGGTTTCAACCCTGGTGCACATTTTGTGCAGCAATCACCATCATTAGTGGTATTTTTTTTCTGTCTCTTCTCTTTTTGCCAGTGAATCAGGAACACATGGAGAAAGGCATTCACTCATGTTACCAGCCACCGCATCTGGTTGTGTCCTGTTTTTTTTTTTTTTGCTTGTGTTTTGTTCATGTTCCCGACGGTGTTTGCCCACAACAAAGCAGAAATGAAAGCGCTTTTCACAGCAGTGAGGTCTGAATAGTGTTTCGAGCCGGCCATTCAGACAGCACCTCACGCCCTCTGTCGCCGCTCAACTTATTATTAATCAGATACCTAACAAATACGGACCCAATCGCCATAACGGATCCCTGCACATTTTATTTAGATTAGGTTATACATCTGCGTTCGTCGTCTCTTTTCAATATATAATGTGTGTAAACTAAACTGTAGAAATTAGGCTGAATTAGAAAAAGAAGAACATCATCTGTTTGACAATACAAAACCCAGGATGTTTACGTGTTTTGTCCAGGTATGGAAAGATCCAGTCAGCAAAGGCGATCCTGGACAAGACGACCAACAAGTGTAAAGGTCAGTAAAGTCACACACACACACACACACACACACTCGTCGTTCTACAATTGTATTCCTATACAGTGAACAATTACAAAATATTTTTATTGCGTGAAAACATTGAAAATAGAGACTGTGAACCGTCAATACCATCATGTGAGTGTGAAATGAGTGAAATAATTGGTCAAATTAAAATTTTAAAACTTTTTTTTTTACCTTCAGTATAACTCTTATTTCATTGTTTTATGTTGTTTCTTTAATCCTGTCCGATGATTTTCCAGTGCTTCTGGGCAGCTCTCAGTCCTCCTCTGTTTTCACAGTCAGTCTTTGTAAATCAATTTTCTGTGACTAATAGACTGGAGCTGGTAATCCATCACTGTGAACAAGAATACTGCCTGTGTCTGTCCTTTTATTTTTCATATCAGACTGCACACAAAGTCTAAACTACATTAGTTTGACAAATAAAAGCAGATGATGACAGAACACTCAGCTCCCTTTGGAAATAGAGACCAGTGTGTGACAGAAAGATGGCTGCACATATTTATTATTCATAAACACTGTCTTTTGCTTTCGGGACTTTATTTCTTTATGTCCCTCGTCTGGTCGTAATAAATGACTCTGTTATTATTGTTTAAATGGCTGCTCATGTAAATATTGCTCTAACAACTACAGGTTATGGGTTTGTGGACTTTGACTGCCCAGCGGCTGCTTTGAAGGCGGTGCATGCTCTGAAAACCAGTGGCATACAAGCCCAGATGGCTAAGGTGAGAGAGACCAGTGTATGTCGAGTGTGTGTGTGTGTGTGTGTGTTTATCTTGCTTGCTCCATGGGGTTCTATCTCTTTAACGTGTGCATGTGTCCGTGCAGAGCTCATTTCTCGAATATCATCAGACTGTTCATATGACCTCAGCTGACAAGCTGTTCTTCCTGTGACCCCGTTCTTTTGACTTTCGCTGTAGAAACCAGATGTTGCTTTCACTCCAATAACCTGTGAGACAGGTTACACACTTTCTCTTTCTCTTCTTCTCTTTTTCTCTTCTTTCTATTTTTTTTTTTTTACCCGCTTCCTTTTTTTCCCCTCTTTCTTCAAGCCCTATTGGCAGAAGCAGTGTTGGGATTTTTTGGATTCCAATAATAACTAAAGTCTGAAATGAGGTCATGTTCTGTTACTGGAAATATATGCAGCTTTGACAGGAGGTTGTTGTCTTCCTAAAAATTTCAAAAATAATTCTCTGTCAACCTACTGATTCATACCATCGCTGATGCTGGCTTTTTGTATATTTTGGCGATTAAAATTCGGAATTTTTATTTTTATCAGATGTCCATTAAAAAAAAAAAAACAACCCTCAATGTGGACTAATTTCTACACAGAACAGGCGTCTGCCGCAGTTCAGTCCATCACAGCTTGGGCCCAGAGAACTCAACAATGTTGATGTATATCATCAGTATCACACAGTCTCAGAGAGATATCCGCAGACTTCAGGTTTTGTTGCATTGTGGGAAGTTTTATGCTAATAGAGTTTGCATTAGCATTCATGCATACTGACACACTTCCTGCACCCAAGCACTATAGCAACAGCACTGCTGCTCTGTCCAATCACCGACCCTCTCTGACTCATCTGAAGTTGAGCTTTTTTTGGGGCAACGGACAGAATATTTCTGCATCGAATGTGTATACATCAAATACAGCAAATCAGCCCAGTCATTCGTCTACCATATTTTACAGTCCTGCTCCGTTGCCGTGCTGAGTGTCTGGAGACAGGCATCAAGCTGCTCTAGATGAGTAGAACACGCAGAAGTACACACACTCACACTGTGTTTTGTGGCTGCTAAGTTACGCTGCTGTCCTGCTGTTTCTAGGGAAGACTGTGGAGATGCTCGGCTGCTGCACAGAAAAGCGGAAGTGTGTTTGAGTGTGTGCATGTGCGCATTTGTGTCGTGTGCAGTGAAGCCGTTCGTACATACATGTCTTCCTCTGACCCGTAACTGCACATTAGCTGCGTCGCCAATCCTGATCCTGTAAGCAATTAAAGTGTTAGTTCTGTTTTTGTCCAAATCTAAAACTCATTACAATGCATATCACTGCCTTTACATGTTTCATATATAAATATATACATATACATATATATATATGTATATATATGTATATATATATGTGTATATATATACATACATACACAGACACGTATATATCATTAACTCAAAGCGAAAATTTCCAAGCTTGGTTTCTGCGACCTTCATGTCTCGTACAATGTAGGCGTTTAAAAGGTATTTGTGAACAGGTTCATGTCCTGTGATGAAATAGTTCTGAGTTTATTACATATATGATGGCTAAATGTAAAACAAAAAAAAAGCAGAAGTTGCTAGGTAGAAGTTAGCATAAAAGATATTTCTGTCCAACAATATAACAGATGCTAGCACAGGCCATGTGCATAAGGTGTAGTCTGGCGAAAAAATGTTCAGCCAGGCTCTTGTAACAAAAACAGTGTACATGCTACGTAGCAGTGTTGCTAGTGCCTAGCAAAAGGTGTCCAAACACCGCTAAAGGTTTATTTAACGATACATACAGTAGTAAAATGAAGCCAAAATAGCTATATTTAGTAATGAAGCTAGCAATGAAGCTAGCTAGCAATGAAGTTAGCCCCAATGCTAAAGCTAAAATGTAATACTTTAGGTAATCATTTTGTAAAATTATTCAGAGAAATGTTTTAAAGCAGATGTCACACAGGGAAAGAATACACTTTCAAACGAGTGATGTTTATTTACATGTAAGACGTTGAATGAAGTCACACGACACCCTGACAGATCTCCCTGTCTTTGAACAGCAACAGGAGCAGGACCCCACAAATCTGTACATTTCCAACCTTCCTCTGTCGGTGGATGAAAAGGAGCTGGAGAACATGCTGCAGCCATTTGGACAAGTCGTGTCCACTCGGATCCTTAGGGATTACAGTGGTAACAGCCGAGGTGTTGGCTTCGCCAGGTTAGTCTCAAATGATCGACACGGACACTGACATCAAGGTTGACTTTTTTTTTAATAAATCTAATGCTAGAATCTAATAGTAACCATCAAATATCGAGCTTACTTCTTCAGGTTTTGAGTATCGTCAAATTCCATGCAAATCACAATGTTTTTTTAACAGCAAACCATGTTTGTTTCCTTGAATCCTCAAAGTACTGTTTTTTTTTTTTCAGAAATAATTTTCAAACTTGCCGTTTAACTGTTGAAACCTGTGGCTATTCCCTGTTTGCATCAGGCCTAACAACAGGCCATTGTGTTGGGGCCGTTCTTTTGTCCAGATTGTGATTTCAAAGATGAGTCACAGCCGTTCTTTAAATGTCTCCCCTCTGTCAGGATGGACACAACAGAGCAGTGTAACGCAGTCATCTCTCACTTTAATGGAAAATTTGTCAAGATGGGATCTGGAGCTCTAGGTAGGGAATTTCACCTCTCTGTCCTTCCTGTCAAAACTGTGAAGGCGCCGTGATGGACTAACTGCTAACGTGTCCTTCGTTGTTTTTACTTGTTTCTTTGCTCACAGCTCCTGCCCAGCCCCTGCTGTGTAAGTTTGCAGACAGTCAAAGGAAGAAACATGGACACAGTGGATTTGTCCCCAATGGACAGACAGGAGATCTCAGATTAGTATGTATTGGCTTCATGTCTGGTTTCTTTTGTCTTATCTTTCCCTTAGGGTTCTATATTTTAATCATACGCAGAAATGGCTTAAAGGCGAAGCTAACTTAATCTGAAGCTAACTTTTTGCTATTTGTTTCTTCAGACAAAGAAATAAAATGCTAACTCAACTCAATAGCCTTTGTAGTGCCACAGGGCTGCGTAGTGCCAATACCTAGAGTCACCATGTGAGGGCGTGGTAAACACTGGACAGTAAACCAGTCCATTATAAGGCCACATATGGAGACAACCAACCATTTCCACATTTACACCTATGGTCAATCCAGTGAGAGTGAACAATTAGCCCACTTCTGCAGGTTTGTTTGTACTGTAACCATCGAACTGGTTGAACCACTTGTCCACCAGTGGCCATATAGAAATATCATTGGATTAAATAATCCTAAAATGATCCCAAATTTACCTCAAAAGATTTTTCTTAAAACACAAAAAAATCCATATAAATATTTTTTGTTTTTTCCAAAAGCGACTTTGATTTACTATGTACCTTTAAACGTGTTTTTACTGTTTAGCCTGAGGATATCAGGACGAATAAATCAGATTTATTTTCACACCTCAGGGTGCAATGACTCTCGCCTATGACCCCTCATCGGCAGCTGTGCAGAATGGGTACGTTTGATTTTTATGTCTCGGCAGCTCGTGACCAAATTCGGCCTTTCGCGTCACAACCCTTGACTCGGTGTTTGTATTGTATCTGTTTCGTTAGGTATTATGCTTCTCCTTATCCAGTAACCAACAGGATAATGACGGTGCAGCCCTCCATGTCTCCCTACATGTCTCCAATCTCTGCCTACCAGGTACTGCACAATGTCCTTTTTTCTGGGCCTGACAGGAACCTGTCAAGTTACCAGAGCTGAAATCAAATCGTTTCTTTCATGTTCTCTGTGATGCCTTTAAATTTATGGTGCATTAGTGCTGTGTTTCTGCATGTGTGTGGGCTGTACAGGTGCTATGAATGATGGAGAAGGTGATAAATCCATCGCGACCACTTTAGCACTCCATCATATGAAACAGCAGCAGGATTGAGTGTTTCAAGTTGTCCAAAAACAGCGTCTCTTCTCTGTATTTCAAGTCGTCCTCTGTGACTCATGTGTTCTTCTCCACCTGATCCTCCTTGATTCATACATCTGAAAGCAGCATAAACCCTGCTGTTCACTGACATCGGTGGAGTGATTAATCTGTGGGGGCTTGTCTAGAGGTTGTTTTTTTTTTTTTTTTTTTTGATCAAACAGATGGCATCCAGATATAGTCAGGTCAAGTCAATTTTATTTGTAAAGATTTACGTTCAAATGACTTTTTCCCCTATTTTCCCTATTTGAAATAGTGATTGAAATCAAACTTAAAATACCCTCCTAAAAACCCACTTACCAGTGAGAGAAAATGGCGGTGTATACAGTCAATGTTTATATTGACAGTACAATGTGCTGTAGACGTGAGAATCTGAAGGAAAAAATAAGACGGAAAGTTAAATATAAACCAGATCAGATGTTCTGTTCGTGCATTTTATCCAGTTTCAAAGCCTGACTGTATGAAAACAAGATTTTTTTTTTTTTCATAATCCATCACAGTCTGTCAGTTCAGGCTATCGACTTCATTCAAATCATCAAATTTAGACCGATGTGAAAGATGGTTCTAAAATCTAAATATCAGTGGAAAGCTGACATCATTGGAATTTAATTTTTAAATTCAAAATTTGCCAAAAAATTACTGTGAACCGTACTTCGGATAGAACAATCTGGTCCAGATCTCTGTGCTCTGTGTTTCTCGTTTCATCAAAGAAGTCTAAGTGAAAGTCCAGACAGGGAACATGAACAGACGTTCATACCAAAAACATTGTGTATGTATTAAAATTGTAAAAAAAAAAACAACAATACGCATATATATCGCGATATTCTGTTTCACAATACTGTATCGATGTTCCTCCGTTCCAATTTTAGTGACTTGACCTTAAGCCTGTAACAGAATTGTGCATGTACTTTGTTGAAGGTTTTCCTACAATTAAATTGCTTACCGTAATACATGTAATAACACCAGATTTTTGCCAACACGCATCCCTAATACACATGCAGTCCCTATAATTTGCAGTGAGGACTGAACCAGGCTGCAGAGACATTTATTTGTTATCACTGCAAAATATATTTTTAGTTTGGAAAATTATAGAATGCTGACCTAATTACAAATACCTCTTGACCCATGTCAAGGTGCATGTCAAAATAAAAAAGTCTGCCAGAGCAAAGGCCCCAGGGCATGATAAAGACGAGCCCTTTACTTTAAAAAAAAGTAATAGGTTTTTAGTTTATATTCTTATATACAGTAAGAAAAAGACACAAGGCGCTCAAGTACATGATGGACCCTCATAGGTCCATTTGAATTGGTAACTGTTTGAACTAGGAACAGTGGGTGAGGTCAAACTAGCTGACGTCTCTGTCTGTATCTAAGGATTCCTTACAACCTACACTCTAATAGTTCCTGTAATAGCACTCAGTGGAAATGGAAATTATTTTTTGGCTAATAACCAACTGTACTGGTGGGGGGGGTTTACCCAAAACACAATCATTCGTATTGTTCATGCTTTTGTCCTAACCTCATATGACTCTCCTATGATGCTAGTGCTGATGTCGTGTCCCTAATTCAGTGGTCTGATCTGAAGACGACTGACAGACATTAGGAGAGGAAATGTTAACAGAATTAAAAATGATAAAGTAACATTTTGAAAACTTTTGAAAAATTCCACCAAGAAGACACTAAAATGTCCCCTCTTTTTTTTTGGTCCTTCCGCAGGTACAGAGTCATTCTTGGGTGGGACATCAACCATATCTCATGCAACACCCGGTGAGTGAAAAACAAGATTCGCTCGTTTACCGCCTCCTATTCTGTGTAGCCGACAGGAAATGGGTGTGTGTGGCACGGCTGAGTCGGCTGTGAGCTAACACACACACACACAACTCTGTGACTTACTTTAGTTTAGTATTTTCCTGCGGACGCTGCGAAACCCACAGCGTCCAGAAAAACTTTCCCCCCCCCCAAATGTATAAGGACAGAGCCGAGTTCTGGGAAAAGCTAGCGCTCTGTTTACGTAGTGTAAGTGCGCACATTAGTGTGTGTGTTGGGAGTGTGTATGAAAGAATGGAACAAGGAAAAAGAAAACCCCGCCACCCTTCAGCCGCCCCCCCCCCCCCTCCACCGTGCTCTCCTCCTCTCTTTGGATCCAGCAGGAAATGCCTGAAGCAGAGACAGTCTTGTGACTCTTTGACTCTTCCAACAGATGGTTTCCAGCGGAACAAGTGTCTCTGCTGATTTGCTCCCTCCCCCCACATTTTTTTTTTTTTTTACAGGGAAATGCTCTATTCCCCAAAGGCATCATGTTGAAAGGAGAGTCTTCCATTTGAAGACACAGCAGACCTATCATTCTTACTTTCCTGTAACCGGGGAGCAGAGATCAAATCATGTCTCAAGATGAACACATTATTTACAGAACCATTTTTAACAACTGAAGAAACGGCTGTCTATTTTTTTTTTTTTTTTGCGACCGTCTGTATTTTATACTCACTTTTTCTCCCTTCGGTTTAAAGAATCAATGTTATTTGTGATCATGTGACCTGGCTTGTGTTCCAGGCTGCTGTGATGTCGCCCTCTGTGGATCCTTCTATGTCACTGCATCCTAGCCCAGCAATGATTACTCAGCAGATGGGACAGCTGTCACTGGGCAACAGCGGAGCGGTAAGTGGAATTCTGGGATAGTCTACATTTTTACTGTTGATCACTGGGTTTGTTAAAGACTTATGAGAATGCCTTGTGTATTTATTCTGCCTGACGACACCCGTTAACATTGATTAAAAGTATTTTTCCATTTAACAACGGTTTGGTCCCTTCCAGATAGGTTATCTCCTTTTCTAAGGGAGACTTTTATATTATTTATAGTATATGTCAAATCCTCAATTAAATAACAAAATTATTTGTAGCATTAATACTTAATGTAATAATGTAAATGGTTCAGCCTTTCACTCTTGATATGAAAATATACCTAATGTAATAATGTAAATGCTTCAGCCTTTCACTCTTGATATGAAAATACAAACACAATAATTGCAATCGTCCATGTTTTGTCTAAATTATATAAAGAAAAATCCCAAATAAATTTTAGTCAAGTCAAAAAAATTCAAATATCACACGGAAGGAACAGAATACTTTTGAAAAAAAAAAAAAAGCCATAATAATGGTGTGGAACCATTGCTTTGTTATTGTTGGCTCTTCAGAAATAACTGGAGCCGTCTATTTAACCAACACCACGTCTAAGATTAAGAAATGTATCTCTTGTCCTCCTCACGTCTTCTCCTTACATTATAAAGCTGTAATGTTGCCACGTGTCAGCTTATAAGAAAGGGGGCGCCAGTCAAACGTTGTTGTTCTTGAGCTGTAACTCTCGTTCAGAGTTCGTTCGACACTTCGGTTCCACCTGTCATGTTGCATTAGCCAATAAGTTAAGGAATTTTACCTGACATGGTGACGTGTGTTATGCGTGTGATATTCCACCTGATTGGTCAAATCAAGCCTGCATGTGAAATAATAGACGGCAACGTTTCATTTTCAGAAAATCAATTGTGGATTTCTCGAAATCAATAACAGTTCTGGGGACAATTGCAACGCATCGGAAAAACGATTATTTCTCCCGTCCCTAATCACCAGCCCCGGCTGCGTCGTTCTGGTCTCAAGTATTGAATAAGCTCAAGAGAAGCTGACGTTGCCACAAAAGCCATGTAAACATTGAAAATGATGATTAATTGTTAACATCACTAACCGTGTCTCAAAAGAGTTTAACATTCAGTGTAGAAAAAAAACATGAGGACATTTGTGAATTAATAATCCTATTTAGAGGAAAATAGTGAGTAAAGCTTTGTAGATATACAGTAGGTGGAGACCATATGTAACCACTGTATGTCTGAAGGGAGAGTAAAAGCTTGGTGTCAGGTAACATTGGTCGAAATACCGTAAATGTCGGTTCCATGGTGTAACGGTTAGCATGCCTGCCTCGGAAGCAGAGAGTCCTGGGTTTGATTCCCAGAGGAAGCGCTTGCTAGGGGCAATACACACATATACACATTTTTCTATCTTTCTACACTATTTGTTCTGTTTGTAGGCATCGGTAGTAATACTGTGTTGCGATATTGTGACCACTTAGAGAACATTTGAACCTCTTATTTCCTGGTCAGTTTTTTAGACCGGCTCTCTTCTACTGAGCCATAGCAGCGGACCAAGAGATAAACAGGATAAATACAAGCTGTTTACCAGCACATAACCAAATACTGTTATTATTTGTTTGAATACATCATCACTTTGTTAAAGTAAATGAATTTGTTTCAAGGCTTAAGTCTCAACATTCCATTCCAGATACTGCTGTTATATATTTTTTTCAATCTAAATGTGGATTTTCAAATTGAAATTCTGTGTACATGATTACTTTATTTTCCTTTTCGCGACACTATTAATAATGATGTCAAGACTTTATTGATCTCTACTTTAACTTTTTTTTATGTAAATGTATGTCACTCAAGTGGTAAAAACCTGTCGCACATTCTAAAGCCTCATTTCTCCCTCCTCCTCCAGTATATTGCTGCCAACCCCGGAGTCCAGGGAGCGTACATGCCTCAGTATCTGCCCATGCAGGCTCCTCCTGTGAGTTTATGATGACTCAGTCCAGTTTGTGCATCCTTTCAACCCAGATCCTCGCTAAAACTCTCTTAGAAAATAACAGTGACGCTCCATTCACAACACCCGTGGTTGTATTTGAAATGATGGTCCTGTGAAGCTGCTCATTATCTCCGTGCAAATACAGTGAAGATGGTTATTATCCCTTCAATGACAGAAGCTGCTTTTTTTTTTTTTTTTACCTTTCCAGGAAAATGGAACGCCTCAGCAAGTGGATTCTTCCAACAACTCCTCTCCTTATAGTCAACTCAGCAAGTAAACACAGGTGCGTGCGACAGGTTCTTTAGCCAACCGTATCAGCTAACATGGGTTTATATTAAATGTCTTAGCTTTGTGTTTCACTAACAAGAGGGTTATTCATATCAGGGATGGGCAATGCTTTTCGAATATTCGAATAGTCGTTTGATCATAAATAATCTTATAGTTGATCATGTCTGAAAAAATGATCCTCTTGTTATGCTGGCGCCTTCCACACGGGGCAGTATAGCATTCGATACGCTGTGTGACGGCACGTTACATGTCACTGTAGTCCTGAACTATTGCCGGGATTAATCGTTATGAAAACGTGTGAAAAAATGTTCCTGTCACGTGTGCGCAGCTAATTATATCCTGTGTTTATGTACTGTTGACAGTGGAAGTGCTACGAAATTCTGATGTATTCCAGTGAGTTTTTCTAAGTCGTTATGAGAATCGTGGGTCTCTTTCTGTTTTTGTTACTGCAGGGGGTTCGAAAACATAATCAATTAGTTCAGTACTTTTGCGTAAATTGCCCACGTCTACTTTATATATAACTATAATCGCACAAGAACCACATTGATGAACATTTAAAGATGGTTATCATAATCTTAAAAAAAAAAAAGTCTGACAAGTGAGATATGAAAAGAGTTTTTCAAGTCCCATAAAATTAGAATTTTTCACAAATATCACCGTTTATTGTTTATTTCTATCCATATAGATCATACACTGTCTGGTTAAAATATATTATTACCGCACTTCCCCTTCGCATCAGCATAAACCTGTATACGTGGTACGTTTCCACAAACACGTTCACAGTCAAATTTATTATTAACCAACGATGGTTTCAAATGGAGTGGTGAACTAAAACAGAAACAGCAGTGTTGAAGGACTGAGCCAGACTCAGCTAGCGTAGAAGACAGTTACAACCAGTGTCACAAATCACACACTGTAGCAGAACAGTGCACAGTACAAAGACACAGTGTAACTAGATTCCAACAGCAAAGTCTCTCACAGACACACATTCCAAAGCAGACTGGGGTTCTTAAATGTGCTGGCGGGTTAGAAGCCCATCACTACATCGAATCATGGTGGATGTTGCGTTCTACGAATTAGTTGGAGGTGGAATATAAAATTGTTTCCGGAGCAGGATGACAATCTTAGACCAATATTTCCTGACCCTATTTAGCCATAGCACAAAAAAAAATCCAGTTTTAATTTACTTACTCAGTATGAAACATGTGCCTGTTTAGTTGAACACAATGCCTATATACTCACAGGGATTGAAGAAAGATACCAGATGCATAATTTTTTTTTTTTTTTCACTTTAGCTTTACAGTCATGCTTGAAAACCAAGCTCACTTAGGGTTGTGGTAAATATGATTTACATTTGCAGTAAATAAATCATAGCTTTGAGACCAATGAAGTGAAATTAGGTCATTTTCGTGTTGCTAAGAATCTTCAAACCGACAAAACAAAAGATCATTTTGACAAACTCTTATGTAGATTTTTTTTAACTGTTTTGTTTTTCTTGATTTTTAGGCTCTTTTAGTTCTTTGTGAAACCAACGGCATCATGGGAAGTTGTTGATGAAGTTTGGATGAAAACATTCACCACACTTCTTTGACCGGACCAGACACATGAACTTTTTTTGCACAGACCCAGACATTTGTGGTGGAAAGGAGGACACATGTTTCTGGACTTAAGCAGTTGGCAAATCACAGAATTAAAAAAAAAAGAAAAAAAACCAAACAAAAACAAAAAAAAAATTAAACAAACAAGATTTATTTTGTTAAAAAAATAAACACTCTCTTCTTTTTTCCCTCTCTTTTTTTTTCTCACGGATTCTCTAAACAACACCAGAGAATCCTCTTCCTCCTCCTACTTCTCCCTCTCCTCCTCCTTTCCCTGCTGTCCTCAACTGCCCTTTCTTCTTCTCCTTCTTAAATGGGACAAATAAAATGCATGAAATTGAGCTACACCCCCTAACGCCACCACACACAAACGTTTCTAAGACTTTCTTGTTTTATTTGTGATATATGAGAAAAAGAAACTCGCAAAAAGTTGTTTGCACTGAAGTCAAATGTTTCCAAATCGCTTCACTTTGTGGCCACATCCGAAAACAAAAAAAGCATCACCCAGCTGACACAAACCACCATTTCATTAGGAAATTAATGAATTTATTATTGGAAAAGGTGCCTTCCTTCCTCGACGTCACATCAAACTTCATCAAACTTAATCAGGTGTCATTTTCCCATCTCGTGGATTTAATGTGTGTGTCATCACAGATATTTCTATTGTTTGAGTGTTTTTTGCTATCTGGTAAAGGTGGTAGCAATAAAGACAATGAGAATCCCACGGCAATACAGAGACAAAAAGAATGGTGATGAATCTCAGAGCACGGTGATCCCTTCTTTTGTTCTTTCAACTTTCTTAGTTCTTACCTTCAGGGTGATCTGAAACAAGGGCCGTCATTTTCTGAAACAACCTGTTGTTAAACAACCTTTGCTGACTCCTGTGGTCAGCCTGACCACCGATCTACCTCATGCTTCTGCTGGAGCCTGCTGGTGTTCTTAGGGGTTTGCGGGTTAAGCCCCTGTCCATCAATGTGGACCAAGCAGAAGAAAAGCCACGCTCAGGAGCTCAGGAGCTCAGCAGCTGGTTAAACTGGGACTTGTACCGTTTGTCTCCCATGTGCAGCATTTTCTTTTGCTCCCCATCAGGGGAACTTTGTGCTTTACCTTGACTTTTAATGTGTTCCTTATGTTCTTGTTGTTGTTGTTTTTTCGGTTTTTTTTGGCTCCACAGGACAAAAAGTGCTGTCCTCTTGTGATGTGCTCCACATGACAAAAAGTGCTGTCCTCTTGTGATGTTCCATTGTAGAAACTCAAAATGAACACAACCACCGGCTTCACTTACTGTCGCTGGTTGTTGTTCTGCGTTTGAAGCAAATACAAAAAGCCTTTTCTGCATTCTTCTGCTTTTACCATTCGGTAATATTTGACGACCCGCCACTTTCTTTTGCCTTCGTGTTTCACCTTTTAATGAATCGCTGTCATGGGTTACAAGTCTCCAGATTCAAACCTGGGATTTATCAAAATGTTTTCATCTCAAATAGGGATGGGGTGAACAGAAGTCACCCAAACTCCAAAAAAAAAAAAAAAAAAAAACCATTCAAAGAAATTGACAGTGTGTAACAACGTACAGAGAACAACTGTATTTAACTTGATTTGATAAAATCACATCGTTGACAACTTGTGTTGAAAAGATTTGATTTGTCCCCCTTCAGGGCTGAAAATGGGAAAATATGAGTGAATTTCTTCTTCTGGTTTTTTTTTATTTTATTTTAATTTTTAATTTAGATGTGTATCAATTCCTGATGTGAAATCTTTACACTACAAGAAGAAAACGGAACATATGTTGAGGAACATCACGCATTAATTCTCCTTAAATGATACTTCTGTTCCTGTAAATGCTCACAGTGGGGAAAAATAAACAGACCAAATCAGACTTACTTTGTGTACCTTTCTAGATGCTTGTTGATGAGGAAAAAGAAATGGACAATTGAAAAAGGAAAAAAAAAAAAACTCTGTAAATGTTATCCTCATTGCCTACCCTGTCACCTTCAGCTTATTCTAAACACAATTCTCTCTGCTCTTTCCTTATAAAAAAAAACAACTGAAATAAAATCAGTGTTAAATAAAAGGCCCTTCTCTTTCTCACACGACTGGTCTTCTTTTTTCTTTTTCTTTTTTTAAATTGACTTGTCGAGTTTTTAAACCTTTAAGCAGCGTAGAATCATGGGTAGAATTTAAAAAAAAAATTTTCGTTTTTAGTGAATCTAATGACGCAGTCACAATGTGGCTCTTCTTACGCAAGGCAGCAGAGGGCGCTGTCGGCCCTAACTCCCTCACCATTCTGACTCATACTGTTTGATGTCAAGTAAGAAACCTATCAGATGAGCAACAAGTCCTGTGTCTGTGTGTTTGTCTGTGTGTGTGTGTGTGTGAGAGAGAGAGAGAGAGAGAGGGCGAGAGCCTATTTCTGGCATGGCGGCCTTTGTAGTTTCACTCTTACACCGGATCTCTCTTCTTAAGCTCAGACTTCAGAGCAGCTGATCCCAGAGACGTTCAGGCACCATGTCCCCCATCTTACCAGTCAAAGGGATCAAAACCACAGGGTTGCAAGATTAGCCATCACACCCACCGCCACCCACCATCACACACCAGCCGTCGGACCCCAACATATATACGTCCCGCGTCGCACACATACAGCCCCTGGACACACACTCGTGTAAGTCAGGGGGGGCCTGTTGTGGAGGCACTAACTCTTTGAACATAAGATACCGGCCCGGTCCTCTCTCTCTCTCTCTCTCCCTCTCTCCTCTCTTCACCTCTCTTTTAATTCTCCACAGCTGAGGGGACACATGGCGCTGATCCCCTGAGATAATCCAAGGTCAGACACCGGGCACAGACGTTAAGAACTGAGCTCCTGCCGCAGTATCCGATATCATTTGCTAAGTGTGATACGCGCTCAACACATGGCATGTTTCCTGGTCTTATAATCTGGGACACTTACTGTTTAATTTCAATTCTCAACCGGTCCGTAAGTCCTTATTAAAGAGACCGCAGCAGAGGCGGTTTCAGATTCTGACCCGAGTGAATATACAGTAGACCAGTGGTTCTCAAACTGAGGTACGCCTACCACCTGTGGTACCTGAGTGCTCTCTAGTGGTATGCAGGGAAAATTAATATTTTCACATTTTCAACTGAATAAATCTGAAACATACCATGCACAATTAATACATTTAAACATAAACATCTTTCTAAACATTTCTAAACATCTCTCCTGTGGTGAATGATTGTCTTCAAACAAACCAATAAAATGACGAATAAATCATCCAAGTGACAGTTTTTGTATTCAACTCATAAAGGTAAAACATGAATAACATGAAAGAAATTCCCATTAGTTTTTGTATTCAACTCATAAAGATAAAACATGAATAACATGAAAGAAATTCCATTAAATTATTATAGAGTGCAATCGATGTTAATAATTTAAAAAGATAAACAGTGTATCACATCGTTCATTACGTTGCATTAGTTTAAATTTCATTTGACTTAAGAAATTCAAATTCTCCTTGGACATCGTATATTTCTGGCACTACGTTACAAACATCGTTGGATCTGATGATACATTTTTGTTTATTGTTTGTAATAGAATTTCTTACAGTGTGATATAATAACAGAAGTTCACGAGATGAAGTTCATGTGTGTTTTTGTCACAGCAGCTGAACAGCTGTGACGCCGACACAACCTGCTAATTCAAAAATACCATATTGATTGACCGGGAATCATTCAATTAGTGGGTGGTTTGAAAACGATGAACGTGTGTCATAACCTTCGCCACCAGAATAGACACAACTGTCATCTGTTGTTGGGTGGAATCTTTGAATAGAAGTCCTTGAAAATAAAATCAAAATAAGAAATAACTCACATTGAAAATATGACTGATCTATTTCCATTTATTAAGACCTCAACTTAAGAACAGATTTTGTTTTGGAAAAAAACTCCAAAAAGTTCCCCCCAGAAATTGATTATTATTATTATTATTATTATTGTTGTTGTTGTTGTTTGTTTGTTTGTTTGTTTATTTGTTTGTTTATTTGTTTGTTTGTTTGTTTTATTTTATTTTATTTTATTTTATTTATTTTCCACCAATACTACGTGCTAGTTTTATTGGTTGTTCGACAAACATAGTTGTAGTAGCGTGTTTCGCAAACAAATGTTTACAGACAACATGACTTCAAAGTTCAGTTCATGCCATTGGCTGCCAGTGCTGGTCCAGGAGGAGGATCCATTTATTAAGAACTCAACTTAAGAACAGGTTTTGTTTTGGAAAAAAAACTCCAAAAAGTTCCCCCCAGAAATTGATTATTATTATTATTATTATTATTATTGTTGTTGTTGTTTGTTTGTTTGTTTGTTTGTTTGTTTTTTATTTTATTTTATTTTATTTTCCACCAATACCACGTGCTAGTTTTTATTGGTTATTCGACAATCGCAGTTGTAGTAGTTTGTTTCGTAAACAAATGTTTACAGACAACATGACGTCAAAGTAATCAAGACATTGATTATCATTATTATTATTATTATTATTGTTTGTTTGTTTGTTTGTTTTTATTTATTTATTTGTTTGTTTGTTTGTTTGTTTGTTTTTATTTATTTATTTGTTTGTTTGTTTGTTTGTTTTTATTTATTTATTTGTTTGTTTGTTTGTTTTATTTTATTTTATTTTATTTTCCACCAATACTATGTGCTAGTTTTTATTGGTTGTTCGACAAACATAGTTGTAGTAGTGTGTTTAGTAAACAAATGTTTACAGACAACATGACTTCAAAGTTCAGTTCATGCCATTGGCTGCCCGTGCTCTGCCCGGAGGAGGATCCATTTATTAAGAACTCAACTTTAGAACAGATTTTGTTTTGGAAAAAAACTCCAAAAAGTTCCCCCAAGATATTGATTATTATTATTATTATTATTATTATTGTTGTTGTTGTTTGTTTGTTTGTTTGTTTTTATTTATTTATTTGTTTGTTTGTTTGTTTTATTTTATTTTATTTTATTTTCCACCAATACTATGTGCTAGTTTTTATTGGTTGTTCGACAAACATAGTTGTAGTAGTGTGTTTAGTAAACAAATGTTTACAGACAACATGACGTCAAAGTTCAGTTCATGCCATTGGCTGCCAGTGCTGTTCCAGGAGGAGGATCCATTTATTAAGAACTCAACTTTAGAACAGATTTTGTTTTGGAAAAAAAAACTCCAAAAAGTTCCCCCAAGATATTGATTATTATTATTATTATTATTTGTTTGTTTGTTTGTTTATTTATTTGTTTGTTTATTTATTTGTTTGTTTGTTTGTTTATTTGTTTGTTTGTTTGTTTGTTTTTATTTATTTATTTGTTTGTTTGTTTGTTTTTATTTATTTATTTGTTTGTTTATTTATTTGTTTGTTTGTTTGTTTGTTTATTTGTTTGTTTGTTTGTTTATTTGTTTGTTTGTTTGTTTTATTTTATTTTATTTTCGACAAACATAGTTGTAGCAGTGTGTTTAGTAAACAAATGTTTACAGACAACATGACGTCAAAGTTCAGTTCAGGCCATTGGCTGCCAGTGCTGGTCCAGGAGGAGGATCCATTTATTAAGAACTCAACTTTAGAACAGATTTTGTTTTGGAAAAAAACTCCAAAAAGTTCCCCCCAGAAATTGATTATTATTATTATTATTGTTTGTTTGTTTGTTTGTTTTTTTATTTTATTTTATTTTATTTTCCACCAATACCACGTGCTAGTTTTTATTGGTTATTCGACAAACATAGTTGTAGCAGTGTGTTTAGTAAACAAATGTTTACAGACAACATGACTTCAAAGTTCAGTTCATGCCATTGGCTGCCCGTGCTGTTCCAGGAGGAGGATCCATTTATTAAGAACTCAACTTTAGAACAGATTTTGTTTTGGAAAAAAAACTCCAAAAAGTTCCCCCAAGACACTGATTATTATTATTATTATTGTTTGTTTGTTTGTTTGTTTTATTTTATTTTATTTTATTTTATTTTATTTTCTTTTATTTTCCACCAATACTATGTGCTAGTTTTTATTGGTTATTCGACAAACATAGTTGTAGCAGTGTGTTTAGTAAACAAATGTTTACAGACAACATGACTTCAAAGTTCAGTTCATGCCATTGGCTGCCCGTGCTCTGCCCGGAGGAGGATCCATTTATTAAGAACTCAACTTTAGAACAGATTTTGTTTTGGAAAAAAAAACTCCAAAAAGTTCCCCCCAGAAATTGATTATTATTATTATTATTATTGTTTGTTTGTTTGTTTGTTTGTTTGTTTTATTTTATTTTATTTTATTTTCTTTTATTTTCCACCAATACTATGTGCTAGTTCCAGGAGGAGGATGTCTTCATGACATTCAAAGTTTGTCTTTAAATCCTGTTTTGATTAAAGTCACAGGTCAACTACAATCCCTACTCCATTTCTACTGTTCTAGGCCTAGACCGCTATGGGTAAACCGCAGTGCACGGCGCACTCTCGCATCAACATATCACCTTTCTCTCAACTCCAACAGTTTGTTGTTTCCCTCTTTTATTTCAACTTGTGAGAGAGATAAGAATTCCGACTGGCCTGCGCTGCACGCGCTCTGATGTGCACACCTGCATTCCAGCCATTCCACAGAAGAAGGAGGATGTATTATTCCACTAGCTGCTCTCCCTCCTCCCCGGTATCTAATAGGAGTTAACTCCTAAACACATTTGCACGCTGACACATCGTCACATCGCGCACACGTTCACACACACACACACACACACACACACTAAAATGACCCAACACTCTCTCTCTTTCAGTCCACGGTGCTTGTGCTGCGGTTGGTGTGACGTCGGCGTTCGCCTCCAAAGTGCGACGGTGACACATCAGTCGGATCGTTTCTTATTAAAGACGTTCTCTGCTGCGAAGGTCTCGCGGGGGCTGCAGTTGTTACTGTCACTCATGTTCGCCACAGCCTCCCCCTGCACACACACACACACACACACACACACTAAAATGACCCAAAACTCTCTCTCTTTCAGTCCACGGTGCTTGTGCTGCGGTTGGTGTGACGTCGGCGTTCGCCTCCAAAGTGCGACGGTGACACATCAGTCGGATCGTTTCTTATTAAAGACGTTCTCTGCTGCGAAGGTCTCGCGGGGGCTGCAGTTGTTACTGTCACTCATGTTCGCCACAGCCTCCCCCTGCACACACACACACACACACACACACACACACTAAAATGACCCAACACTCTCTCTCTTTCAGTCCACGGTGCTTGTGCTGCAGTCGGTGTGACGTCGGCGCTCCCCTCCACAGTGCGACGGTGACACATCAGTCGGATCGTTTCTTATTAAAGACGTTCTCTGCTGCGAAGGTCTCGCGGGGGCTGCAGTTGTTACTGTCACTCATGTTCGCCACAGCCTCCCCCTGCACACACACACACACACACACACACACTAAAATGACCCAACACTCTCTCTCTTTCAGTCCACGGTGCTTGTGCTGCAGTCGGTGTGACGTCGGCGTTCGCCTCCAAAGTGCGACGGTGACACATCAGTCGGATCGTTTCTTATTAAAGACGTTCTCTGCTGCGAAGGTCTCGCGGGGGCTGCAGTTGTTACTGTCACTCATGTTCGCCACAGCCTCCCCCTGCACACACACACACACACACACACACACTAAAATGACCCAAAACTCTCTCTCTTTCAGTCCACGGTGCTTGTGCTGCAGTCGGTGTGACGTCGTCGTTCGCCTCCAAAGTGCGACGGTGACACATCAGTCGGATCGTTTCTTATTAAAGACGTTCTCTGCTGCGAAGGTCTCGCGGGGGCTGCAGTTGTTACTGTCACTCATGTGCGCCACAGCCTCCCCCCGCACACACACACACACACACACACACACACTAAAATGACCCAAAACTCTCTGTCTTTCAGTCCACGGTGCTTGTGCTGCGGTTGGTGTGACGTCGGCGTTCGCCTCCAAAGTGCGACGGTGACACATCAGTCGGATCGTTTCTTATTAAAGACGTTCTCTGCTGCGAAGGTCTCGCGGGGGCTGCAGTTGTTACTGTCACTCATGTTCGCCACAGCCTCCCCCTGCACACACACACACACACACACACACACACACACACACTAAAATGACCCAAAACTCTCTGTCTTTCAGTCCACGGTGCTTGTGCTGCAGTCGGTGTGACGTCGGCGTTCGCCTCCAAAGTGCGACGGTGACACATCAGTCGGATCGTTTCTTATTAAAGACGTTCTCTGCTGCGAAGGTCTCGCGGGGGCTGCAGTTGTTACTGTCACTCATGTTCGCCACAGCCTCCCCCTGCACACACACACACACACACACACACACATGGGCAAGTTGGAGCCTGTACAAACACCCACACATGACCCTAGAATGCATGTACACACCAATCACACGCACGCACGCGCGCGCACGCACACACGCAGACGTTCCAGGGAGCATGGGCAGCAGGGTCACCCCAGCGCCATGCTTCATAAAGGGCGCCGTTACAATAGGTTTACTGTTACTCTTGACGACTGCCGGGACACAATGGCAGTGAATGTGTTGGTCTGATGCTTCTCTGTTTCTCGCTCCATTTTTCACTTGATGACAAGGTTGTCAGACGGAGACAGGACAGCATGGTATCAGAGGAAGCCCCTGAAGGTGAGCCGGAATATTTCCACATTAACGCGGACTATATTTATACACGTATGGAAATTGTATCTGAGTGATGAGATGGGTGGATCTTGAACTGGCCGTTGTGTTTTAGAGAGACTCCGTTCTGACAGTGGTGTTGTTGTTTGGGAGAGGATGGAAATGAATATTGATCGATTGATGTTTGGCATTAGCGCTTTGACAATATGGAAGGCTATGTTCATTGGTATGAAAGAGAAAAAAAAGTGTATTCACTTCATTTACACGCGTAATTCCTGACATGACTGCATATTTTGACGCAACAAGAACAGGGTCGGAGACTTGACCCCGTGACCTCGGGATGTTTGGCTTGTTACATGGAGTCACCTGTGTCGCCGAGCTCCGCTTCTCTAGCAACAGAGTGGCACAGTTTTTAATATTGTGTTTCATTACGACGCAACTTCCCGTCGTTGGATAACGTTCCTCTTCATCCCCCGCTTCAGGTTGCGCTGCTGTGTCTTTTCGGTCGTGAGGTTCAAATAATGACACAGTTGGTTGTTTTGCATGTGAGGTCGTATGAATACTTTGGTGACAAACAGTACGGGCTGTAAACATGAAAGTGAGACCAAAAGCAGATGGAGGAAAAAGACTGGATGAATGAATGGACTTTTCACTGACACAGGGGTTAAGGTGCGGATGGAAAAGATGGGGAGACCAGGGTGGAGGGGTGACAGTGATCAGTAAGCTGAGTGGTCCTGGGTTGGGGGGGTGACAAGATGGGGACTCTCCCAGATCCAGAGGGGAGCGGTGCTGAGTTACGGGATTCCTCTGTAGCCGGGCCGAGCTACAAGTTACAGTATCGACACAGCAGCTGTCAGTGGTACAACACCTACGCAGCTTCAGCCTCCTCACCCTCCTCACCCTCCTCACCCTCCTCACCCTCACAGTGTCACCTCTCTCTCAACACATACGCACATTCATGTGTGAATGTATTTTTTTTTTTTTTAAGGCGAATGGCGACAATGATTCATAGTTCCTGTCTTGTTAAAGATTAACTCGTCTCCCGTTAAAGTGGCTGAATAATGTCAGCATGCAGGTCATATTTGCCTAGGGTGCGGCCCTCTGTATTATCCGCGCGCAGCCAAAGTTCACCGGCATCGGCCGTCAGTAACGGGTGCTTTCTGTAGTGACGCAGAAGCAAATTGATCCAGGAAGTAAAAAAACAGAAGATGCTTCAGTACAAAGATATGGTTTGGCATCAGATTTATATCAACGGCTTAAAATGTAGCTACGTTTTTTTTCTTCTTTTTGTTTCTATTCAGATGCTGCTGACAACAACAAAACTAAGAAAGTTAAGGGACATATAGCTATTTTTTTTGCTAAGTTAATGTTAGTTTTTAGTGTCATTTTTATAACAGAGTTTTGGCCATCCTTAGTCTATCCATCCATCCATCCATTTTCATCCGCTTATCTGTTACTGGGTCACTAGTCGCCACCCAAATCACACCGTACCAACCTCCCTGAACCTTCCTGCAGGTGGTGAGTCCACTGGAAGGCACCAACCGCCCTAACTGGGATTCAAACTTGTCCAGGAGGTGAACCCTGGGGTTCCACAAAGCGTCACATCCTTAGTCTAACTTCTGGCTATATTTTGATTTAGGTTAACCTTCCAATTATTCGTTTTTGTGCTGACCAAAGTAGTGGTTTTATTTTTGAATTTTCTTCATGAAGGTTTTTGACTTTTCCTCATCTAGAGGCTGCGGGTAAAAGTCTGGACACTTTTATGTCCGTGGATGAGCTTGTTTACAAATATGAGGCTGCGGGTCATTTTTTTATTGGATTAATAAATTAAAAGTATGTATTTCAGAAACACTGTGTTAGCATGCTCTACTGTTTATAAGAGCAATCAATCCATCCATCTATCTATCTATCTATCCATCTATCTATCTATCTATCTATCTATCCATC